GGCGCCGCGGCTCACTAGGCTAATCCTCCGCCTAGCGGCACCGGCACACCGGGTTCTAGTCCCGGTCGGGGCGCCAGATTCTGTCCCGGTTGCCCCTCTTCCAGGCCAGCTCTCTGCTGTGGCCAGGGAGTGCAGTGGAGGAGAAGCACCTGGCTCCTGCCATCGGATCAGCGCGGTGCGCCGGCCGCAGCGCGCCTGCCGCGGTGGCCATTGGAGGGTGAACCAATGGCAAAGGAAGACCTTTCTCTCTGTCTCCCTCTCACTGTCCACTCTGCCTGTTAAAAAAAAAAAAAAAGAATTGCTTTCTTTTGTGCTGGTTAGTTTTGTGACTTAATTTTAATTTTCCTTAGAAAATTAATGTAATTGTGAGAGTTATTTGAGGCCTATTATAAAAGCATACTCTACCAAAAAGGATTTATATTTGCTGCTGTAAAGTTGCTAAGAAAGATTAATCCCAACCACATAAACCACATTTCCAGCTTGAGGTTTTGAGATTACATAGGTAAGACTCCAGGTTGCAAATCTGTCTACAGGCCTCTTCAGGATTGTCTTAGACATCCCACTTTTCTCAATATCAAGGCTGACTGCCTTGCAGTCTTACCAGGTGGGATCTGATTGGCTGAGTTTCCTTCTGGCTCTGGCCATGTGTGGGAGGGATCTCCCATTGGATTCTCCATTGACTTTGACTTCTGAACTTCATATCCCAGACTGGTATCAAGACAGAGAGGAGAGGCCGGCGCTGTGGCATATTGGGTAAACTGCTGCCTGCAGTGCCAGCGTCCCATATGTGCTCTGGTTCAGGTCCTGAGTGCTCCACTTCTGATCCAGCTCTCTGCTGTAGCCTGGGAAAGCAGTGGAGCATGGCTCAAGCCCTTGTGTCCCTGCAACCATGTGGGTGACCCGGAGGGGGCTCCTGGCTCCAGATCGGCATAGCTCCAGCTATTGCAGCTGGGGAGTGAACCAGCAGATGGAAGACCTCTCTCTCTTTCTCTCTCTTTGCCTCTACCTCTCTGTAACTCTGCCTTTCAAATAAATAGATAAATCTTGAAAAAAAAAAAAGAATAAATTCACCTGACTTGGAAATGGCCCACTTAAAGCATCAGCTTCTGCTTCGTGCTTGCTTAATCTCCGTGCATATGCTTTCCTTTTTATTTTGCACCTTAATTGTTCACTATCTTGTCAGTTATTTGATGCTTATATAATTGATTGATTTACATGCTATCCATTATTTTATTTTTCATAAAGGCAGAGAGATTTCCTGATGTACCATAGTGCCATAAATGGAACTTTGGTATGGATTTTGGAAAGCAAATCAAACAGAATGGTTCTTAAGAATACAGATTCTATCAGCCCTTAAGACATTCAGATCCAGCTAAAAAACCCATGAGAGTTTCTCAGGCATGGAAAGCCAAGACACTGTGGCAAAAAAAAAAAAAAAACAAAAAAAAAAAAAAAACAAAACACACCTAAATGAAAGATCTCTGTGAGTGAGATCCCAGCAGAAAGAACAGGCCATCAAAGAAGATAGTACCTTTCTCTGAAGGGAGGGAGGAGAGAACTTCCACTTTGATTATGGCCTTGTCTAAATAAGGCCGGAGTGTGTGAACTCATGAGGCTTCTATAGCCTTGGCAGCTCATGACAAGAGTCTCAGGTGATTACTGATGTCATAAATAAGAGTGTCAATTGTTAAATCACCACTGGGAGTCACTGTACACTTGCTCCTCATGTAGGATCTCTGTCCTTAATGTGTTGTACTATGTGAATTAATGGTAAAACTACTACTCAAACAGTACTTATACTTTGTTTATCTGTGTGTGGGTAAACTGTTGAAATCTTAGTATATACCAAGTTGATCTTCTGCATATAAAGATAATTGAAAATGAATCTTGATGAAGAATGGGATGGGAGAGGGAGTGGGAAATGGGATGGTTGCGGGTGGGAGGGAGATTATGGAGGGAAAAGCTGCTATAATACAAAAGTTGTACTTTGGAAATTTATATTTATTAAATAAAAGTTTAAAAAAAGCATTTGGGGCCTGTGCCATGGCTCACTTGGTTAATCCTCTGCCTGTGGCACCAGCATCCCTTATGGGCGCCGGGTTCTGGTCCCGGTTGCTCCTCTTCCAGTCCAGCTCTCTGCTGTGGCCTGAGAGGGCAGTGGAAGATGGCCCAAGTGCTTGGGTCCCTGCACCCACATGGGAGACCAGGAAGAAGCACCTGGCTCCTAGCTTCAGACTGGCTCAGCGCCCATTGTAGGGGCCATTTGGGGAGTGAATCAATGGAAGGAAGACCGTTCTCTCTGTCTCTCTCTCTCTCTCACTGTCTTCAACTCTACCTACCAAATAAAATAAAAAAATTAAGAATCACAAGTGAGTATTATGCAAAAGCTTCCTTGGGAATATTCATACATCATGCATTTAGGAGCCACCCAGCAAAACAGCATGGAGCTGATTTGTCATAAAATATAAACCTCTGAGCCGGCGCCATGGCTCACTAGGCTAATCCTCCGCCTAGCGGCGCCGGCACACCGGGTTCTAGTCCCGGTTGGGGCGCCGGATTCTGTCCCGGTTGCCCCTCTTCCAGGCCAGCCCTCTGCTGTGGCCAGGGAGTGCAGTGGAGGATGGCCCAGGTGCTTGGGCCCTGCACCCCATGGGAGACCAGGAAAAGCACCTGGCTCCTGGCTCCTGCCATCGGATCAGCATGGTGCGCCAGCCGCAGCGCGCCTGCCGCGGCGGCCATTGGAGGGTGAACCAATGGCAAAGGAAGACCTTTCTCTCTGTCTCTCTCTCACTATCCACTCTGCCTGTCAAAATAATAATAATATATATATATAAAGCTCTGGTCGTATTAAGACAGACTGTCTGTTTTCATATCATGGATCTATGCTTTCTGCAAGTTACTTAACTTCATTGCCTTTCACTTTTCTCGTCTTTAAAGTGAGGAAAATAATGGTATTTACTCATATGCATTTGGTACTCTCATGGTCACATGATATCACTTGGTGTTAGCTAACCAAGTTATCATTATCTCTCTATGAGAACTGGTCAGAGGAAGGAAACCAACAGAACAGCAAAAGATAAGAAAGAGGAGCCTGGCATATATGGCATACATGGGAAAAGGAACATACAGACTTTTGGGAGAGATTTTATCAAAGAACTGTCTATGTTATACAATAGAATTCATGTCATTTTGTTTCTGAAAAATTATTTTTCAGTGTTTCTCTTGACCCTCCACCAAGCAGGATTTGTGTGTGTGTGTTTGTGTGTGTGTATTTTAGATGTGATACTGGGCAGAAACTGTAGGTAGTTCAGTCTTATCCTTGTTACACATTTACCTTACAGGGGTTAGCTAGACCACCAAAAAACCTGTTGTGTTTATCAGGCATCTCCATGGAGGTACTCAAAACAAGAGAATACAAAGAACACTTGATGTAAAATGAAACAAAAAATGTTTTTTACCTAGAACGTAAAAATTAGAGAGGTGTTGGTAACATCAACTATAGTAAGAAAGATGGAGGCCGGCGCCGCGGCTCACTGAGCTAATCCTCCGCCTAGCGGCGCCGGCACACCGGGTTCTAGTCCCGGTCGGGGCGCCGGATTCTGTCCCGGTTGCCCCTCTTCCAGGCCAGCTCTCTGCTGTGGCCAGGGAGTGCAGTGGAGGATGGCCCAAGTGCTTGGGCCCTGCACCCCATGGGAGACCAGGAAAAGCACCTGGCTCCTGGCTCCTGCCATCGGATCAGCGCGGTGCGCCGGCCGCAGCGCGCCGGCCGCGGCGGCCATTGGAGGGTGAACCAACGGCAAAGGAAGACCTTTCTCTCTGTCTCTCTCTCTCACTGTCCACTCTGCCTGTCAAAAAATAATAAAAAAAATAATAATAAAAAAAAAAAAAGAAAGATGGAGTAGGGGCCTTTGCTCTAGTGTAGCGGGTAAAGCCATGGCCTGCAGTGCCGGCATCCTACTGGACACCGGTTTGAGTCCCGGCTGCTCCACTTCCCATCAGCTCTCTGTTGTAGCCTGGGAAAGCAGTAGAAGATGGCCCAAGCCTTTGGGCCCCTGCACCTGTGTGGAAGACCCAGAAGAAGCTCCTGGCTCCTGGCTTCAGATCAGCACAGGGCTCAGCTCCAGACGTTGTGGCCAAAAGGGGCGTGAACCAGAAGGTGAAAGACCTCTCTCTCTCTGCCTCTCCTCCTTTCTGTGTAACTCTGAATTTCAAATAAATAAATAAACTTTTTCTTTTTTTAAAAAAGAAAGATGGTGTGGTAACGTCCTTCCTCACATTTTGAAATCACAAAAGTGAAACTGCTGGGTGCAGAACACCCAGAAGTCCGCAGCAGGGATCGCCCACGTCTGCACCAGTCTCCTGGGCAGGACAGCTCTTGGTCCGGGGCGTTGCTCTGTGCTCGGCAGCAGTTCTGGCCCCCACCTAACCCACCATGTGACAACCAGAAATGTCCTCAGATCTTGCTGTAGGCTGAGAAACACTATGTTAGAGGAATTACAGCAGTCTTGTACAGTCCATCCTACCATCTCAAAACGTAAACTTAACCAAGTGCCATCACACTGTAGCCGAGAGGCCCCCATCCCCCACTGATACAGCACCAGCGTTTTTTAAGGGATAGTCCTGTAGGATGATCTTTATGGGATGCTATTACTACTGAATGAATACAGAATTACGTAACTAATCCTATCGCATGGGAGCATTTGTTGAACCTGATTATTGCCTTAAAATAAATGCCAATGAGTAGAATCGCAACTCGAACTAAAGCTTCTACTTTGGTGCTGCCCGCTGGCACGGTGACGGATTTCAGAGACATCCAGCCTCGTCCTCATGTCCCAGATGCCCTTCCCTCCGGATCCATCCTCGAACCGGGAGAAGCGTGGGTCCTGGCGGGGGCTTCTCTGGCCAGACAACGAACCACACCCGGGAGGGGTTGGTGAGCGTGTGAGTCCTCCACGCGCAAGGGGGCGCTGTGGAATCTGCCGAAGCCCCCAACAACCCAGGGCGTCGCTCTCTTCCAGCGGCCGCTCCGCCCTCCCGCCCCGCGATCTCTTCGGCGGCCACCGGGTTTGGGGAAGCGTTACTAGGAGACGGCGCTCGCCGACCGCGCCTGCGCCGTGGACACCGCCCCGGGCGGGTTGACGGATGTAGGCGCTGGCCGGCTGAGCGAGTTCCTGCTGGCCCTGGGTAGCTGTCGCCGCCCGGTTTCTGTCGGCTCATGGTGCGCCTGTGAGGCCCGCTGCCGGCAGACGTCTCCTCGAGATGGAGCACATCCGGACGACCAAGGTAACTGGCCGCTGCTCCTGGTCTGAGCAGGCTGACGCGGCCGGGGGCCTGGCCGGAGTCGGCGGGGCCTGGTGCGGGAGGACGGGGTCAGCTTGGGCCGAGGAGGTGCGGAGGGCTGTTTTTCAGCACTCCGGCGAGAAAATCTGTCGCCACCTTCTTGGCTTTTACAGCCTCCTGGGCGGAGCTGAGTGCGCCTTAGCTTTGGGAGCTTTCCGCCGTTCGCCGGCTTCGGTACCGGAAAACCCAGTGGGTTCCCGAATCAGCCTCACGATGCTTGCCCGCGTCTCTTTGTCCGGTGTCACAGATGGGTGGTGCTGTGCGATTCGGCGGAGCCAGGAGCAGCTCTGCGCCGCACCTCGCTTTCGTGCCTCGGTCTCGGGTCGTTCAGGTCCGGTGTTCCCGTGTCTGTGCTGCGAACTTCAGCCGTCGCCCTTGGTGTCCATAGTGGGAGTTACGCAGGAGGGGACAGTGTTACTCCGTGGAGCTCATTAAATCCCGCACTCAACTTTTGTGTGTGAAACGTGCATTTTTCGAGACCGAGCGAGTCTTCGTTATGATTCCTTTTGAAGGAAATAGCATCAGAATATGACCAGATTTCTTTTTCCAGCGACGTTTTAAGATGCGCTTCAGCCTTGGGAGGGAGAAACACAGACATCAAAGGCAGAAGAATTGAGTGTCATTATTGTAAGATGGCAGGGAGCGTAACAAAATGCGGCGGAGGACGCAGCCCGAGTGCTGGACTCTCCGTGTTTTGCCAAAGCCCGAACTGGCCGTCGGGTGCTGCGCATCTTAAAGTTAGCTTGCGTTCAGGGAACTAGCGGGCGCAGGCTGTCTTCGCTGTTCCAAGGAGAATCTGAAATCTGTATCTTCAGAAACTCTTCTCATCTAAGGTGTGTGTGGATTTTTATTAGGGCTTGTTTTCAACGTTGAGTATACTATGCCTAGTAAAATTACATGCCCAAAACTAATTCCTCCCCTCCCCCAAAAAAGCTTTGTTTTTAAGAGAAGCAAGATAAAGTAACTTTAGCATTCAAGTTGCTGGCACTTAAAATTTGAAGGTAGCAGAGTGATCAAGTAAGCGACCACACCAGTAGAGAGTGAGAAGATGGAAACGAAGACTAGAGTGAGCCCGGATCAAGTTGGCATCCTGGTCTCAGGATCGCAGGTGTGCGTTTTGCAGTAGCTGTGTGCCGCTGATTTTCATCTCATGCGCTTGCTACAGTGCACAGCACACAACAGAAAGCCAACAAAAGTGAATTGAATGCCATCAACTTCAACAGACCCTATTCCTAGGTGAATGATAAAAGAGAGCCCAGACTGCTGAGAAATCTTTAGGGCCCCCTTATTGAATCTTTCCTCCCTCAACTTCTGAGGAAAATATATCTTTGTTTTTATTTTGATAGTTGTAGCCTCTCTTAGCAACTCCTTGAAGATGGTCACTGGTGACTTTCCATGGGTCGGATGTTCCTCTTTAAGTACCAATTGTTGGATTTTTCCTCAGTCAACTCTGATTTGTCCTTGTCTTTTTCCAGGGGCCCCATGTTGGTGCTTTAGTAAGGCTCTTCTGTACCTTTATAAAGATTAAGAGTTTTTTTTAACTAATTTTCTTTTAAAGTCTTCAAGTGTACTCCTTTATTACTGTGGGTTGTTTCTCTAGCATTAGATCACTACTCTGGAATAATCTCATGTGGGTGTGTGTAGACTACAATTAAACAAATATTGGAAAGGTACCAGTTATGTACCAGGTACTGTACAGACACTGGGTCTACAACAAGTTAGGGTGTGGACCTCCTAATGCATTCTGATAATTGTGTGGTCTGTAACTTTTTTCCTTAAAAAATTGATCTGTTGGGAAAGTAACTTATTCTTAAAATACTGAGCTGAAGATAGTCAACTTTTTGTTTCCATTACACATAACCTTCACCTGGACATAGTTAATTTGTTGCAGAAATAATTGTAAGTATTTCAAAACCCAAAATGAATTGCTTTAGCTTTATTACCTTTTTGAATTCTGTGTAGTTGGGTCAAGGATTGCCTGTGTAATGTGATATGACTACTTAGTAACGTGTTCTGTTTGCAGACAGTTGTTTTTGGGAACTAATCATTACCATTTGTTGAGCAATTTAGGTGTCAGTATAACTAGTTATACAATATTATGATTTCACAGTAATACAGTATTATCATTAATATGTTAAATAATGCTGTCAGTTGGGTATTGTTATCTCCATTGACAGATGAGGAGGAAATAGGCCTAGAGCAGGAATGGGGAAGGCCAACAGAATCATTTGTTCTGGTCCTGCCAAGGCAACCCACAGTCAGGAGTTGAAATTCAATGCATCTATAGCAGGCTGATTTTTAGGTTGATAGTTTTGTATGGCTTGCAAATGATGTTGTAAGTATCCAGGTGGCAGAAGAAAGATCCCCCATCCCCGGCTTAGGGAGTAGCCTGCCTAATGAACTCATGCACGGTAGTCAGGGTTTAAACTAAGTTTTGTCTAACTCCAAAGACTATGTATACGTTTTCCAGTGCCTCTCCAGTTTTAATCTAATGGTTAAATTTGTATTAATATTAATTCAGAAATAAATTCTTGTAATAATTCCAACATCATTTTCTTCTCCAAGCCTTTTCTTGTCATAAGTAGGTAATATTTATGTGCTATTATTGTTTTTTGTATTGTTGAGAGTCATTGTTTTATGGCTTTCTAACCAGATTAAGTAATTTAGCTGATTAGTAATTAGTTCTAAACTTGAAGAACAAGGAACAGATAGATCACATCGTGTTTTGGTCACAATTGGTTTACTGACTGTATAGCATCAATAGATGTCTCAAGTCCTGGAATTAGAATTTCTCAAAGAGTATAGTATATTCTTTGAGCACACAGCTATACTTACCAGCTGTGTAGCTACTGCCTGTCACTTTGAGTTCTGATTTTGCCATAATGAGATAGTCTTGCCAAGAAACGACGAGAAATGTGCAGACAGTTCTTCTTTATGCTCTTGCTCCTTTCCCTGCCAGGCTGCAGGACTTTGGCTGACATCATATATTGATGTTGAATGATATTGTGTTGTCTGTGAGTGAAACTTTATGAAATGGAAAACATTTCCCTGAGCTGTAAATTAAAGATTGTTTTCTAGACTTTGTTATAGACTGGAACATCCTGTAAAAATCATCTTTCTAGGGCTCAGACTATGTTATTCCAAAAGTTGTTGCCAGACTCAATCTGTTGCTTGCTACTCCTTTTTCTCATTAGAAGATGAAATCATATCTAAATATATGTTTTCTTTTATGAAGAGGGAAAGAGATATAAAATTAACAACAGATTAAGAATAAAGAGAAACTGATTTTGTTTTAATTTTCTTGGGAATAAGTGCCAGTAAGTTTTCAGGAATACCTGAAAGCTTTTCCCCAAGTAATGTGCTATTTTGACTATTGCTGATATTGTCCCATTTTACAGGTGAGAAAACTGAAGCCTGCTGAACTAACTGAACTAAAATAACTTGCCCTGGCCCACCCAGCCAGCTCTACTGAGGAAAAAGTAGAACTGGGAACTTGGATCCAGGTCTTTCTGAAAACAGAAACTTGTTCTTTTTTGCTTCACAGAATAATTATGTAATCAAAATATTTGAATAGATGAGGTAGAGCCTGAAGAGGAGGGAATGGATGAGAGAAACGTAGATGCTAAGGTTTGTCTAATAGTGGGCTAAGTATGAGATCTACAGCCAAGGAAAAGGTCCGACCCACAAACGTTGATTTGGAAGTGGTCCAGATTTAGGTAATCATTGGCATTTTCTATTGTGGATGACTTTGTGCAAGGAGAATGTGTTGAATCTATAGAGAACAGTGTGTGTGTTAGGGCTATGGTAACCTTTAAAAGGGGGTAGGTGGGGGAGAGGAGCTGAGAAAGAGTAGTGTGGCTAAATTGATAGAGGTGAGTCATGAATGAGAGGGAACAGTCTTCCATGCCTAATTCCCGTCCCTGCTTCCTCATCTACTCTGCTTCTTCCCTCTCACTGGCTGGGTGCTGTTCTAGGATCTAGGAAGTGGAGGTAAACAAATCAGACACTAACTCCTTCCCGTGTAAAGCTTATTTTCTAGTTGGAGAAAATATATAATAAACAAAACAGTCCGATATATGTTAGATGTTGGTAAATGCCATGGATAAAAATAAAGCAAACAAATGTGGACATTTGGTGCAGTAGTTAAGATACCACTGGGGATGCCCCCATCTCATAAGGGAGTATCTGAAGTGCAGGAGCTGATGATTCAAGTACTTGGGTCCCTGCTACCACAAGTGAGGCCTGTATTGTGTTCCTGGCTTTGGCCTGGCCCACCCTCTGATGTTACAGGCATTTTGGGAGTGAACTAGCTGATTGAGAGATCTCTCTGTCTCTCTCTCTCTGCCTTTCAAATAAAACAAAATAAAGCAAGCAAACAAACAGGGCCTCTCAGAATGGGGTTGGAGGCAGTAGTTACATGTCTGGTAGGTAGTTAGATGACTTTTTCTTTTTTAGAAAGTTGCTCTTGAACACAGGCTTGAAACATGCTCACATTGAATACAGGGCCCAGTGAGGTATGAAATCCTTTCCCAGGGCAGTCCTGGTTGCTAAGAACCAGCAAGGTTAGAAAGAGAGCAGGGATAGAAGTAAAAGTTGGGAGACAGGAGAAAGTTACTGTAGATACTTGAAGGCCATTGTAAAATCTTTGCAGTTGCTCTGAGATAGGAAGTCAGCTGTATTCAGTGTTGCAGAAAAGCAAAGTGAAAAATGTCTGTTGAATTTATGAGCTGGGTTTGGTTACTCTGTTTCCCTCTTACCAAGTCCATGACAGTTTCCTTTGATATTTTATAGCCAGACACTGTTCTAGGAACTGGGGATGCATGAACAAGATAATCTCTGCCCTCCCACCTCTGAATGGCAACTTGATGTGCAGATAATTTATTATTGGCAGAATACCAGTGGCAATAGTGATTCTAGGTGTCCCAAATGGGTGCTTTGCTACA